TATATATATATACACACACACACACTTTGATGTCTCCAGAGTTTCCCAATATCTGCCTATCTTTAACTGCGTTCCCATTTAAAAAAAAAACCTAGCAAAAAACCCCCATAACAGAACCCCCAACCTTTTAAAAATAATTTAAGATAAGACCATTATACTTTTCTAGGAGGATAGCATCTCATTTATGGAGTAAATCCTGGTACTCAGTCCAACCTAAAAAAGGGTGCTAAATTCAGTACTAAACTAACCAAAAGAGAAGGAAATGGAATTTCAGAATTTAAGCTAAATTAATCTCCCACTAGGTTTGAATTCTGCGTATGTCTCTCAAAGCTTTGTAACAGATGCTTAACCTACACATACTAACTTGCTTGATTGGTAAGATCCTTGGTGCACTAACATTGCAGTAGTCTTAAATCTGGTCATACCATCTGCGATCCATTCTTAGTTGGTCAGCAGTGTTTTAACAGAAATAAATAATGTCATTTCCTTAGGTTTCCCACTCTCCCACCCTAGCAATAATACTTCATGGAGCAAACCAAATATTCCAGAAATAGCAACAGGTCTATTCAAAGCCCCAGAGTTTCACAAAGACTACTTCAGGGTCTTTTGTCTGAACCTCAGAGTCAACAAGAATGAAAGCAAAGGACAAACTTCAATAGCTGTCTGAGCAATGCCAGTTAAATGAAATACTGTGGATCTGCACTACTTACCCAGTCCCAGCCCTGCAAATTCATCGGGTGCCTGATCTTTCGTTCCAGTGAAAGAACCTTCCCTGCCACGCACTGTCCCTGAGATGTAGCGAGGTTTAACTCCAGTTCCTATTAACTGTGCCAGTTCAAGTTGACTGATGCATTTCAGAATCTACTCCAGAGAATAAAGAAGTTGTTTATCAACAAAAAGCAACGTGAAACAGTAAAAATAAAATCCTTAGAAGAAAAAAAATCCAAACACTCAAGGTCAGACAAGTACTCTTGTTTTTCTGTCTGAAATGAATATTAATTTCAATACTACTGGATTAATCTCTCACAATTTTATTTCTCACTTGGCACTTGGGCATGTTTTGCTACTCTAATAGGCTGCATAATGTATGTGCAAAAGTATATAGTTGGCACTTTTCTAAAACCCACCATATTTATGCTCAAACAAGTACACCACTGTGTTCAAAAATCAGTAAACATGCTTTCTTACAGTTTAAATACAAATGACTTGTACCTCATGCCAGGAATTTCCTAAGTAGTTTCCATCTGTATGAGCCACCGTGATGAGAGTCTTAATGGTGTCAATATTCTTCTGCTTCATTTCAGTAATACCAGAACTCACTGTAAGTAGCGTAAATCTTGCTAATGCTTGAACATAGGCATCTCTTTCAAGCTACAAATGGGAGGAAAAAACCAAAAGTAATTCTTTTTCTCCATTTCTTGTTAGTGCAATCTGTGTGATTTCATCAACTATACCATTTAGCTTCCTCTTCCTAGAACTGAATTTGCAAAGCATACTGAAAATATCTCATGTTCTTCTGTAGTAAGCTCTGGGATAAAATCAGACTTCTCCTACTCAGGAGCATGAAGTGCAATGTCTGACAGCACAGAACACATAGGTTGTTGTGAGGTTTCTGGTTTGGTCTTTTTGGGGAAACAGGATGCTGTTTCAGAAGAAATGTGCCTACTTAGCTAAGCTTTTAATATATACGTACTATACCTGGAACTACTCTGAAAATGCTGCCTTAGAAGACTCACTCAAGTTGTAGGACTTCTTCATCAAGAGAATCTACACAATGTACCTCAAAGGCACATTCTTCTAATTCCACAGAACTGCTCAAAACATATTTGATTTAATCCACATCATTTGGAGCACCTCACAAGCTCCCAAAGTGAGTGTCATGGGTGGATAACAGCAAGTCACCATAATCTAGACAGAGGAAATCTAGCTCAGCAAAAAACCCAAAAACCTTTATGTATCTGGTACCTACAAACAACAAAGGAAACTCCTCAGATCACATATGAACCAATTACAATGGTAAAAATGAGATTACAGTTGAGCTCCCAAGTGCATTTTACTCTCCTGTTATGTATCAACCAAAGGCCATAAAGTGAAATGGTTGTACATCAGATAAACAAACAGTAACTATGAAATATATTTAACTGTTTGGACATTTAGGGCTGTTTTCAAGTTTAAAAAAATCATTGGACACATAAAACAATCAAATACAAAATATTAAAAACATCCTAGGAAGAATGGGTGTTTCACAGAGCAAACACGAACACCACAAATAAGGGCAATAATGGAAGGGAGAGATTATCACAGAGCCACATAGTATGGCTGCTATGTTCATACCCAACTACCACTACAGGGTGCAAAGGCACAGCAAATGATGTGTAAGCACAGAAAAATGGAAGTTTCAAAGAAAGTGTACTAAGCAATGAAGCTTCAGTGTCTACAAACTGTGCATCTTCTGCAAAACCAAAATGTTTTCAGTCCTACCTATTCATACAGATATTCACCCTCTGTCCCTTTTTCTAAGCAAAGCAGGAGAAAAACAACTAAATAATGTGTCCATCACCCAGAAATTAAAACCAGATGATATAAGCAAATTAAGTGCATCCTTTTGATGCACATCTTCTCAGATGTTTGAAGATCAAATTCAGACTGTTTGACAGCCTAAGATTAAAAGTATAAATAATTAAAAGCAGAATCTTCAATTTAGGTATTAGAGGTGAAGATGCATAGCTTAAACTACATTGCCTATTTTGCAAACTTTCTTGGAACTAAAAGCATCCAGCTCCCCTCATTATCTCTCGAGGTGTGTAAACTAATGTTAACTCTTATTAGACAACAATCTTAATTTCTCTATGTTTATTCAATGAAATAGAAAAGTTGTCAGCACCAGTTAAGCACGAGGAAAGACTTGATTCCAGCAAAAAAGATCCTTAAATCAGTTCAAATACAGATTTGCCAGTCTCCTTCAAAACACCAGAGCTACCTGGCATCTGAAGACAGACAACATGCTATCTAGTCAGGACCTCGTGCAGTGAAATCGTCCTGTAACATACTGAAACCATCAACAAACCAATACTGTTTTTAATGATAGCAACAAAACAGAATTCCTATAGGAGGTATTACTTATATTGAAAATTCAAAAGCAACACTTCTCATTTTTTCACACTTAAAAACTTGGTTTTGGAACACCTCCACTTCAATAAAGTTTGTCCCAACCAATGGAAGGATATGACTGGTGCATGGGGATCCTGGAGCAAACATGTCCTTGCTCTTCCTGTCCACAAGGCAGATCACTGCAGGACTGGGAGCTAAACTCTGCAGCTGCTGAAAACTGGTACTTGTACCAGTTTCACTTTTGCAGCTTAGAAACAAAAATAAGAGGAATGTGAATTTCATTGAACTGCTGCAGACACCAGAGAAGGCTTTGATAATCAAATTTTTAAGTCTGTTCAGTTTGGGGACAGGTAGTGGTGGTGCTAAAATTAAGTTGAAAGACAGAGTAAGGAAACCTTACATGATCTCAAATGGGCTTTTTTACGTAGCTGCATCAGAGGTCCCAATGTGCCTTCCCAAATTAGTGCTAAAACCTAATTTGCCAAATAAAAGTAAAGGGGAGAAAGAAGGAGCATTCACTATCATGCCATAGTTCAACATTTTTCACTTTAAGTTAAATTTAGTCTTACAGGTTGTTGGTTGGTTTGTTGGATTTTTTTAGATGATGTCTTCAATGTACACATGAAATAACTCAATGTCAAACACATGAATTCTGCTTGCCTCTCTCTTCAGCTATCCCTATGGACTTATAGCCAACCAGCACTCCATTTATTAATAATCTACAGCAACATAATTGTACCTTCACTACCAATGCTTTTTCAATAGCAAAAAGAAAGGCAAAAAAAGCCCAAGTTTAATCAGAATTATCCTCTGGAGCAATAGAGTCTGGAATTATTGGTATTGTGCTTAAAGCAAGATACATTCGTGCATTATATCAGGAATGACATTTCCAGTGCCCTCATGGTTAAAGGGGTATCCAATTACAGAAGTCTTAGATTAGTATAATCTGCCCGAAGTTGAGAACAATATTTCAAATACGCTTCACAGAGATACTATTTTACAGGAGAGAAAGACTCATTTTCGGAAAAACCACAACAAAGCTAAACAGCTTTGTAACAAAGCTAAGAAAGAAACATAAAAGCAGTTAATGTGGGGAAACAAACTCAGTCCATAGGCATGGACTTACCCGCTTACCACAAAACATCAGGGAACATAAAGGTCACTTTTATTTACACTTCCAGTCAAATATCAGATGAAGCAGTAATGGCAGAAGCAGGAAGCTTCTGGGTATTGCAGTCCATAACTTCAGCAACAAGGACTCTTAGAACCCTACTAACATTTTGCTGGTACATAAATCAATGTGTTGCCTCAATATTCCATTTTTTACCTGAATGTTGAAAATGCAAGCAATCCGGATTGCACATCGTATACCCTCCAAACAGAGAGAGGCAACTTCGGTGTCATCACAGTCCTGCAGACCCACACTGAATGCAGCCAGAAAAGGTGTCCACGCCAACTGCAATGTATGCAAAGTAAGCCTTAGATTAGCAATTGTTAGCACCTGAAGGGAATGTTACAGTTTCAACATCTTGCTAAAGTGTAAATTCCATCCTTAACTCACATCATTACCCTGAAGTTGCCTTTGGCCAGAAAGGAAATAGAACAGATAGACATGAGACATAGAATAGTATAAGGTATCATTAGAAAAGGCATGAGACATGGAATGGGACAGAAGTAATGCAGACTGCCACTCCTCTCAGAAGCGTTTGTCCTCTCCTCCTTCAGCAACCAACACACACAACCATCTTCAGAGAGTCGGACAAAAACAAACCCTATGTCAGTCAGATGTCTATTGGAGCTTTGGTATTCCCAGGAAAACCTTTAAGTTTGCACAGTTAGAAACAGATTTTGCAAGGATCAAAGAATATAAGAGATTCCTTTATGAATAACACCAGAAGGAAAAAAAGATAGTGTAAAATAGGACAAACTTTATTAATTCCACTAAAACTATGGAAAGCAACAAGAAACAGGACACAACTCTTGCCTTATCTCTTTGTTCTGAATTTTGTTGCCTTTGTCCCTTCACCTTTTTGTATCTATGTCACTGCTGATGTTTCCTATTCCCCTTGCCTTAGGTGGGACTGAGGGTGTAATACACTCAGCTAGTTATTGCACGTGAGTCTACATGTTCCTGTCCTTGTGGGCAAGGCTTCCTCTCTCACAGGCAGAAAAAACAGAGGATGCAGAGGATCCTGCCATAACTACGTGTGGTTATGGAGAGGAAATCTCATGGTACCCAGAACTATTTTAGAAAACATATTACCTGAAGTCACCCCAGATGTAATAGAGAGTCAATGAGCACAGCAAGCAGCAACAGATTTCACACTTAATTTCATAATAAAATGATGCACCAGAGCTTTGGTTTATTTAAGCCAGCAATTCCAAAAGCACTACCTCAGAAGAGCATTTAACACTTGTACATACCAAACCGTAACTGTAGGACAGAATGAAAGGCATCAGATGAACTCCTAGATCCAGGATTTAATTCTCTATTGTATGACCTCTAAAGGTCCCTTCCAACTCAAACTATTCTATGATTATATGTTCAGAAAGGTATGTTTCTTCCCACCACCTTCCTGATTTTTCATTCCTGTTAAAGCCAAAACTAATCTTAAAAATCACAAAACTGAAATACTGTAAGAACTATTCAATGATCTGTACAGTGTGTTTTACAACTAGATTTATGCTGTTATTTGTAAGAGACTGTTCTGTCATTAAGGGTAAAAATTAAGCCTGGAAAATAGAGCAGAAATTCACATTCTGCACTCACTTAAGGAGCCAAAAAGTCATTGTCTGTTTTACTCATTCAGCAAATCTATCTGTAAAAACAATTATAATGATCAATTTTATGGCTGAGATATCCAGAAATTTACAAAGTTTTCCTGAAATGAAAATTCAAAAGCCTAAATAAAAAATGTGAAATTAAGTATCTAAATTCCACAGCTCTTGCTTCTTTGAGAAGACAGCTCTCTGTTCAACACATTACACTGTCCTCAGTATTTTAATTAGTTTATGAACATCCTCAAGTAAAACAACTTCTCCCTTTATGAAAAACATTTTACCCTGATGCTTCATATTTTGCTCTTTGAAAAAG